CTTTTTAAGATTTACATCAACGATTTGATAAGGGCGGTTGAAGCAGTAAGACAGGGAGTCCAAGTAGAGGGAAAGAGTGTGTCCGGACTGATGTTTGCAGATGATTTCGTGGGCGTATCCGAAACACCAGAAGGGTTGCAAGAACAATTAGATGCGGCGGTAGGATACACCCGAAAATGGAGACTGTCGGCGAACGTAGGGAAATGCGCAGTAGTGGTCTGTAACGAAGACAAGAAAAATCCCGTAGAATTCAAATGGAAATGGGGGGAGGAAGAACTACCGGTAGTAGACAAGTATGCGTACCTGGGAGTAGAGATTTCGAAGGAGTGCTCATGGGACGCACACATAGCGAAGTTGATTGGGAAGGGTAAAGCTCAGATAGGCAAGATGGACGAGATCCTTGCGGACCCACACCTAGACACTAGGATTAAGAGGTGTATTCTCTTGAATGTGATTGTACCTATGCTAGAGTGTGCAGGAGAGGTATGGGAAGGTAACGAAAAGGCCGTCAAGCAGCTGGAAACGGTGCAGATGGCAGCGGCCAAGAAAATACTAGGATGTTCAAGTACAACGAGCAACACTGTATTGAGAGCAGAATTGGGAATGTACTCTCTTAAAACAAAGAGAGACATGCAGAAGTTGGATTGGTAGTACAAGGTAAGTAGAATGTCGGACGATAGACTACCATGGTTGACGAGGCAGCTTGGGGAAAAGCCACTCCAGGGAAGAAGGGAATCAGATGGGACAAGGTCGTAGAGAAGGTTTGGAAGGAGATAGGAGACGAGGAGGAGACGTTGGACACGGAAGGGTTCGGGGGGTTCAAGACGAAAGTCAAGGAGGTGCTAGAAAGTAGGGAGGAGGCAACCCTTCGGAAGAAGGTACGAAGCGAAGACCACTTGGAGATATACGGGAAGTTGAAAGAAGGGATAGGGATGAAGACGTACTTGGACGGCCCCATGGACTACGCGAAAAAGCTGAAATTGCAATTTCGAGTAGGCGATCTGGACTTGCCAGAACGGAGGAAGAGGTATACCAGCCGTAGGAGAGAGGAAGAGGAGGATAGACACACATGTCCATGTGGCAAATCGGAGGAGAGTAGACCCCACATAGTTGGAGAGTGTGAGTTGTACAGGAAGGAAAGAGAGGATCTCGAGGAGGAAATGAGACAGAGAGGGTGTGACATGGACAAGTTTGGTAAATTAGACAACAGCGAAAAAACGATCGCGATAATTGGGGATAGATGGTGGGCACAAGAGGCCCTAGAGGACGGGGATAAGATGTGCAAGAAATTTTTATGGAGTTTGTGGCAGAAACGTAAAAAGCTCCCAATTGTTGGTGGTGTCTCTAGTAGGGGTAGGAACGGTGCTCCGTCTCGAAAGGGACGCGTGGTCAATGGTCAAATGACTAAGGCAAGCAACAACTGAGTACCCCCCCCCCCCCCCCCCCCCTCGTGCTGCTGCTGCTGCTGCTGCTGCTGCCACTTCTGCCGCTGGCACTGATTATTCGTGGCGAACACCTTGTGTAATGGCATCGGTAGTGACGGCGCTACGGTGCTCATCAACGACTACAAGCATTTGGTGAGGTTCAAACCAACACATCGATCACACAGACTGATGTGGCGGCTACGATTTGAGATTATCGATACAAGAGAAACCACGGAAATAGGAGAGTCAAAACCGCTTGCCATTGGCCACGAGGAATGCATGTTGTACCCAGTGCGCTTTAAGAGGAAAGCCGGTTAGGGGAGAACTATTCTGGCTTGCAAACCCTCTCGTATGGCGTATGCATAGCCCCCACTGTTACAGTGTGAACAGGAGTCGGTCGATCGTTATTGTCTCCAACCTGTTTCTGCCTTCCTGCATCATGCGCATGTCGAGCCGTCATAGCTACTGCTTGCATGATCTTTTCATCATCACCACCTACGTGTTTTTTTACGGACGCCTCTCTTTCCCCCCTCTCCGAATGGCTCGCGTCTTGCCGCTGACAGTTGGAGGACAACATAGCCATCCTGGACGTGGTAACGCGAGGGACCCCGGACGGGGGTACGCAAGTTCATTTTAAGCCGTCAGCGTGTGCATGTTCATCGAATTCGCCATTGAAATGACTGCCACCGTTGGGGGTATTTCTTTCAGCAATCAATAGAGTTTTATTATGAAACCAAATAAAACACACTTGTATATGTTAATCCCCTTGAGTCACAAGCAGATATTGTAGTTGGGGTTAAGAGGGTTGAACACATGTGTATATCTTAATCCTCTAAAACCACAAACATGCATTGTAGTTTGCGGAGAGTTGTAAACCGGGAATGACGCTCCTTCCCCCATGAAATACTTCCTTCCCCCGTGGAATACTTCCTCCTCCCGTGAAATACTTCCTTCCCCCGTGAAATACTTCCTTCCCCCATGAAATACTCCCAATAACCATCAATCGGTGCTTCGCACAACATACCACCCACCGGCTGCATTTTGTTTCACCTCTCCTCTCATCTGGTGTTCGTTGCAGAGCGAAGTAACCTGGGCTTGGACCCCGACATTCGCGACAAGATGACGCAGCTCCCGTTTTTCTTCGGCGGACAGTCGTTGGGAGGAGGGCTGTCTCTGTTGATGGCCATGCAGCTGAAGAATGACACCACCAGGCCTAACGTCGGCGCCAGGCTCCTTGGGGTGATGGCTAACTGCCCGGCAATCCGCGGTGCGTGGCTGATGCTGTTGTCGTTGTTCACGTTGGTGCTTGGTCGTTGGGTCTCGATCTGTGGAGAGTGGTTGTTGTTGTTGTTGTTGTTGTTGTTGTTGTTGTTGTTGTTGTTGTTGTTGTTGTTGTTGTTGTTGTTGTTGTTGTTGTTGTTGGTGGTGGTGGTGGTGGTGGGTGTTGTTGATGTTTCGTGTTGTGGGTGGGTCTGCCGCCGCTACTGTTAGCGTGCATGCCTTGCTCGCGTGTGACTCTCAATGCCGTCGAACCCTTCGTACGCCTGCTGCTGCTGCTGCTGCTACTCCTGCTGTCGTCCTTATCGCCAACACGCGGGCACAACAACAACCAGCAAACCCTCCTAAGGAACCCGTGCTCTTCCTCCTCAAGCACGTGGTCGCCCCTCTCTTGCCGTCGAGACAGATCCCCAAGTTCATGGAAAAAGGTGACGAGCCTTCCATCACAGCAGTCGTCTTCGTCGTTTTTGTCGTGAGCGGTTAGTCTTTTCGGTTTCGCGTGCGGAAGGATAGTTGGCCGTGTCTTGGGTGTCTTCACCGCTGAACGCCCACGCTCGTTCGTTTCTGCAAGTTGGGTAGATGAACGATACACCGGGGTCCCCGGCGCCGAGGTGGCTGGTCGAAACTCGCCCTTGAACTTGAACACGGCGAGAACAAACAATCTGTAGATGTACGTACCATACAGCCTCTCATTTTTTTTTGTTTTCTTCATGGCGACAGTGTCGTTGCCCGAGCTCGTGTGGCTCAAGCCCGAACACATGGAGATGGGAGCCCAAGACAAGATTGGCCAACCCGGGGGTCTGGGATGGCCCGGGACGATGCGCTTCGGAACCGGCTCGCAATTGATCGGTGAGAGTGGGCACGCGTTGCAGCGTTTACGCATACAGTTGATACAGTCAGCAGGTGCGGTAGCAAAGTGTTTTGGGTAAATAGGATAGGCCCGGTCGGTCGCTACAGCCGGAGGGACCCAGTGGGTAGGTACGCACTGAATCATTGTCATTGCATGCCGAACGGATGCCGAACGCCTGCCCCTCGAAACTGACAGCTACACCGGTGTGTTCGTTGGCGCCTTTGTTTTGTCTTGTTTCAGACATGCTGGGTGAGCTGTACTCGAGACTCTCCGAGGTCGACTTCCCGTTTCTTGTGCTTCACGACCCGGAAGGTGAGCTCATTTCACGTTGGTCTCGTCGTCTTTTGACCGTGTTGCACCCCGTCAGCGAAGACCCACGTTTAAGGTGTTGCGTGAATTATTTTTTGTGTTGCTCTTGCTAGTCCCAAACACCCGGTTCCATGAAAAGGACGATCGTTTTCTGGAAGGGTCCTCTCGGGAATTTACCCGGTGCGTGAATCGAATTAAATCATGGTGTTCTTGTCATTTTTTGCGCACCCCGGTGCCATCTCCCCGATCGGTGCCATCTCTCCGACAGGTACCATCTCTCCCACCGGTGCCATCTCTCTGACCAGTGCCATCTCTCCGACCGGTGCCATCTCTCCGACCGGTGCCATCTCCCCTGCTATTGCGAGACGGTAGTTGTGGTGCTTTCATCCGCAGTTGTCCGCTCTCAAATGACCGCCACGCTTAAATCCCGACACCCCCCGGACCCGCGCGAAAATTTGTTGCAGACGGGATTGTGCGCTTCGAGGGCACGCAGAAGCTGCTCGACGAGGCTTCCACCGCGGCTGACGTCCCCAGAGGCAAGGAGGTCAAGGAGATGCTGGGGCTGAAGCACGACTTGCTCTCCAACGCCACCACTCAAATGCTGGCGGCCTACACCGACTGGGGGGCTGCGCGTTTGGAAGCAGGCGCGCAGCAGCTGACTTGAAATGGATCGACGGGATGAGGCGCCTGCGCTCTCGTCTGAAGTCCTGGTTATCTCTCCTCTTTGAGTCGGTTCTTTGAACGCTCTGCGGGAAGACTATCACAGGAGGAGTCTCGTTTAGTGCCTGTCGTGTTTGTGTGCCGTTTGAGATCTGGATTGGGGGACTAAGTCCGGAGGCGGCGGTGCAATGGACTGGAGCGATACAAAAGTAGGTCGGAGATCTAATGCCCCCCCCCCCCCCCTCCAGCAACAAAACCCGCCCTGGTTTCCGAAACTTTTCCCAATACCAGCACCCATGCACCTGCGTGGTTCTTTCTGTAGGACAGGTCTTGATTGGGCCGTGTTGGTTACAAAAGTGTCGCCTATGTGCATGTTGCAGTCGGTTCACTTGGGGATCAGGCTGGGTTTGGGGTTTGTTTTCTTGCTCTGGTGTTGGGTTCGTCTGCACGGCGGTACAACATATTAAGTATTTTGTATTTGTATTGAATAGCTACTGTATGTACATTTTTTTTTGCGCCCGTCCGCCGGTGGCGTACTGAACGGAGATCAGAGAAGGATGTTGGAACGAGACTGGTTGATGCTGTTGTTGTTGTTGCACACCCATGTGTTGATGTAGTAGGTGTCTCGCATCATGGCCTATTTTGGATTTCCTTTCCCCGCTGGAATGCCACGAGACGACGTAAGAAGGTTGCTTGTCGTCCTGGTTCTTCTCCCATATGGAGTGCCGGCCTTCGGGAACTGCTGGGTAGACAGACACCCGGGAGATAGAGCTAAAGGCAGTAGGGGGTCCGCGAGGGATTTATTGATATTCGAAGTACTTGAATAGTCTACATATCCTGCAACAGCCGTACACTCTTAGGATAGTCCAGCCGTTCGTCAGTGCTTCAAAGTTTTTGGAGGCGGACTCAGTTTGTCACCAACCAGCAGCAGCAGTGTCTTTCCGCCGGACCCAACCCTCTACCGCGGCAGGGCCACGTTGTGTAGATGGACGAAGGGTTGGTCCAAACTCTGTTCGATGAAGGCACTACAGCAGCAAGTTGTAGCGTACTCTATATGATACCACTGCTGTAGCATACTATGCTGTAGTCCTCCGCGAGACCCTCGTGATGATTCTTCCCGAAACAACGACCAACCGACGACGTGGCAAGTGAAAGTAAGTGCCGATCGAGGATGATTCAGCCTATCTCCAGCTTGATAAAACAAGAAACTTGACGCTTGGAATTTCACCCCATATGCCTCTTCCCTGCCCACCATTCGGGCACGTTGAGCAACATCACCCTGATTGCTTCTAGTTGTTACTATGTATGTATGTACTTGATGGCCGTAATGAAATAAAGTCTCATCCCCATGATACGTGTCGACATACCGGTAGATGTCGGCGTCGGTATTGTTCGCACCGCGAAATGGAGGACCAAACAAACAAATGACTTTCTGCGGGATCATTTTGTTGCTGTACTGATGCTGTACAACGCTGTAGCGGGGGTGTGTTGGGGTTTGTGGAGTTTTCTATTTTCTTTTCGAAGAGCGGGGCGTCCATCACTCATCACCATCCATTGTATGCTCCTCCTCCTCACAGGCACATACATAGACAACTTTCATTCATATTTTGAATCGTGGATGAGTCTGAAATCAGTTGCTTTTTGTGCGTGCTCTTCGGTGGATGGCACGTAGATACAGAAAGAGTGAAAGTGAAAGGCGGAGAACACGACTTCTCCACTAGCTGCCAGTGTTGGAAGTACGACAGCAGTAGTAGCAACAACAGACCAGCAGCCTCGCGCGTAGCAAACACAAACACACCCGCAGTAGGTGAAAAAATATCCAATTTTTCATAGTTTCTAGAACAGAATTGTAGAGCGTATGTGACCACACGCACCAACCATCTATCTAGCTGCTGTACTACCTGTACCGCATGTACGGAGTCCTTTTTTCCGTCATGGAAGATAAGACTCTTGGTTGGACGCCGATCAAGTCTCACATAATCTCTTAGTGTATCAGACTACCGCAGGCTAACTGTAATTGCGCGCTTCTCCTCATTTCCAGCTGGCGTGGCCTACCTCGCTTGCGGCGAGGCGGACATTTAGTCTATGTGTTCAACGGATGTATCACAAGCAGACTGCTGTCGGAATGATGTGTCGACAGAGAGGTGTCGACACCTTCGGACGAACGGACGAAACGAGCCGTCAATTTCTCCAAATCAATTTTCTTGCCAAAGATCCGACACGCACGTTGCGTCGAGCCGACGGGCTGTTCATGACCAAAACAAGCTGCGACACATGTTCTGCCGCAGAGCATCTGCCGCAGAGCACACGTCGGTCACCCATGGCCGAGTTCAGAACTTCGTAGTCTTGGGTCACAGAGGCACACGGCGATTGCACTGCAAACACAGGCTTGCGGAATATTTAGCGTGATGAACCAAACGCTCTCTCTCATCATCCCTCAACGAACAAACTGGAGAACCAACGTCTCACTCCGGTGCATGGATGCGGTGGTTTATTCCCGACCCCAGGAATGATTCCCGGAACTTTCTCTGAGAAACTTCAAATTTGTTCTCGTATCGAGGGAGTCGAATTAGTTGCCGAATAGCCGTTGGTTGGTCTTTCCGTCACCCGCGCGCACGCCTACCCCGCCCAGTCCTTACCACACCTTCTCCTCTTCTCCTCATCTCCCCACCCGGGTCTTCGAAAGGACGAACCGCGCGAGCTACGGTTTGCACTTCCGAAGACCACCGAACGTTTGGGCCACTGCAGCGGTCTAATCGGTGAGAGCGAGGTGTCGTGTGCGTCGTGTGTGTTGCTGGTCCTGGGGCTGTGCCACTTTTTTTCATTTTTGCAGGGGCATGTGATGAAACTGGGGTCGTAAATTGCCGCCGCTCTTGATTTCTCGCTCATTTTACAAGACACTTGAGCGCTTTCCTTTGTCAGTTCTGAGCCTAAGAGCATCGACGAATAGCCATGGCGAAGAGAACGTACAGCAGTAGATACATACGTAGATACCACACCTCTTTTGTGCGTACACAACACAGCGGTAGTACCCTATTCTCTTCTTGGTGATGTTTGTCTGTCTTTGTGGTCTCCGTTCTCGCCTCACTCCGCGGTTGGTTCAATTTTTTTCGGCCTGGAATTGATCGCCATTTTCGGCGGTTTGTGTAGGTTGCTCATGGTCTCGCAGTGAACACAGAGAGGTGCCACCAACCGCGCAAGAACGTCGTGGCTGCACGGCTACCCTGCTGCTGGCCCACGGTAGATTGTGTGCGTGCCGGGTGATGTGATTGTTCCGCTGTTTTTGAGAGCATTCGGCCCGCTGAGAGGATTCGGCCTTCTTGAGAGGACGCGGCGTGTGTGTGCCATCTTCTCTGCCACTGACTGTTAAGAAAATCTCGAGAAAATCTCGACAGCAGCAGTGGGTTTTAGCGCGGTGCGTCTGGCCCCGAACGCATCCAAGAACGAAGTGGTGCTCTGCGTCTGCCCCGTGTATTGTACGCGTCGAGGTCGGGCCTTGGGGGGATAGGGGTGGGTGTCGCGATATAATGCGTTGTTGGTGGTGGGCGCGCACGGACGCATTTATTTGTCTGTTCCTCCGCCTGCTGCGTGTGGGGGGTTTCTTTTCTGTGAAGATTTGAAATGTACGGCAGGCAGGCGCGGTGTGAGTGGGTTTACAACCCCCCAAACGTCGATGGTCACCGTCCTTCTCTTGTTGGATACTGACGACGTACATGTTTCCGCCACCAGTAGGCGAACTGTCATGAGGGTCTTGACTTGACTGATCGCGGTGGGCTTTTAGAGACATCAGAACTTTTGAGATTCTGTTCTAGAAAGAGCAAGAAATGTTTCGGTCGTCAGCGGCTACTACACGTACGTGCACATGTACACGCTGAGAGAGATGGCTGGGACGTTGGCAGTTTGAATAGTTTGAATCCAGAGAAACAACCCTACAGCAGACAATGCAAGGCGGACGTGAGTGGCAGCTCTTCCTTGAACATTCCTATGGCAGTCCGCCATCGTTTCCTTTCCGACAGCAGTTTCCTAACGTTCAAAAGTTTTCAAATGGAGGAGGCAAAATCAGTTTCTTGCATAATTTTTTTCAAGATGCGGGCTTGAATCCTGGGATAGTAAAAACACACACAGAAAGACTACCCATTCGAGATTCTTCAAACGGGCGGGTCTGTATCTCAAACGGGTAGTCTTTCTTTCACTAATGGAAAATCTACTTTGATTTTTGTCTTGCGCATGTATTTGCAAAACGACCTCACCCATTTTCGGCCGGATGTATTTTCTAGAACGTTTTCGCATATTTTCGGCAGGTGTGTTTTCGAACGCCCGTGCCAACACACCGATCTTTGTATCACCGACACCGGTGCGAAAAAACTAGAGTAAGTGCATACCGTATATGACACAAGATAACACACCCCCTGGACCGATTTCCAAAGCTCGATTACTCCACGACGAAGAGGATGCACAAACAAAACGATACATTTTCGAAAATTTCTCGACGAGACGATTCCAACGCTGCCGTTTTCGGCGCCGTGACTCTTCCTGCTGTTGAGAAATCGAGCTTTGAAAATCGGCCAAGGGGGTGTGTTATCTTGTGTCATATACGGTAGTCACGTGGTTTTATTGATAGACTTTTTCAACGTTCCCCCGGTGCGATAACACCGATGCTTGCGATGCGGTAGATATATATTACGGAGCAGCAGTCTGGCCCTTGCACGTTGCTGAGTCCCAAGAGACGTACACAGCAGGCGATTCCTGGGGTACAACTGGGGGCAGCTTCACGGTGTACAGGATATGTACCAAAGCACAACCCAATCAAAAACATAAATCAAAAAAATTAACGGTGTCGGCGAATTGTGGCGACTTCCGCTAGCGAATATACCTTGACTATGTACGTCAGTAATTGAATTGTCTTCCTCATGGACACGGCGGTAGTACCAGTAGTACTTCGTACATTTTGTGTTTCTTGAGTTCTTTTTATTGGTTACGCATGGGTGTTTATTTTGCCCGCACCTGCGACAATAGCGATACCGCGGTATCGCGTTACATGCTATTTTTTTTTCGCACGCCCCAAACCCCCCATGTGCGCGAAATCACCGATGATGGATGCCGAGTGTACCCGATTGCGCGGCAATGGCACTTTGGATGGCACCGCGACGTTGTGAGCGAAATTACCGACGGGCGCCGAATCCAACCAGTTGCACTGGTGTTTGTTTTCAAGGAATGGCATCTTGCTGGGATCCCGATGTGAGCCAAATCACCGACCACTTGCCGAATTGAACAATTGCGGAACAACTCAAGTTCGTGTTTCGAAGCGATGATATCTGATTCATTTACCTTTTTTCCGATGCCGTTCGCCTCCCACAACGCACACCAACGCAGCAGCGGCGGCGGCATCGGCACGACCATGGGCCGATCTAGTCTGTTCGCCACCGGCGCGCTTTCCCTCTTCCTGGGTGGCAGAGTGTCCGGCCAGGAGTCATGCGTCCAGGTGGCCTACCCGACGTGGGGGGCCAACTGCCCTTGCGAAGCGGGCAGCCAGTACTCCTTCACGATGGAGGGGCAGACCACGGTTACCGCGAACACGGTGAGTCCTCCCGTGCTTTTGACAGTCTCGCACCGGCAATTTGGACCCGTTTTTGTGTCCACGTTCGCGGCATTTCATTTGTTCCCGAGCAGAGGGACCTTCTCTCTCTGGTATACCCCCCCCCACCCCCCCCCGCAGGTATTGTTGACGGTGCGGACGTGTGAAGCTTGAAAACTCCCGACAACACCATCCATGCAATAAATTGTCGGGTGTCCGTGGCTGCGTTGTATGAGGCAAATCGATTATTGTGCCCTCCCGTCGTGAAAATCGGTGATCACGTCGGCGGTATCTCTTGTGGCAGGCCGAACCATATTCGGCTCTCCGCAGGCCTGACATGTTGTAGCTCTCTCCCACAACGATTTGTTGTTGGATCAAAGAAAGCTTGAGGCATAAGCACCTGCATGCTCTGGACGGTGGGTCGCCTCACGAGCTGAACGGATTGATTTTTTCCGGACGGGACACGGATTGTGCTTTGTACGTACTACTGTAGTGACACTCGCCATGTACTTGCAGCCACGTGACATCGCCCGACACCAATCTCATCCGCCCATTATCCCGCATGCCGACAATACAGGTCAACGTGGCCGTCATCATCGACGCCTCGGTCAGCGTCGGCACCGCCGACTGGGAGCTGTCGAAGGAGTTCGCCAAAAACACGGTGGCGTCCTTCGCCCAACAGAACCTCTTCACGAACGGCGGGAGCGCCTCCTTCGCCCAGTTCTCTTCCGACGCTTCGGAGGGCGGCACATTCTACTCCCTCGAGGACTTCAACGCCTTCGTAGACGCGGACGCCAAGTACTCGGGCGGGACCGACATCATCGACGGCATCGCCAAGGGCAGGGAGCTCCTCAGCGCCTCTCCCACCACTACGTCGTTCATGATCGTCACTACTGACGGAGTTGCGCCCGACCCTCAGGTTCGCTTGCGCACGACTATGTATTGTCTTTTTTGGGCTTGCTTAAACGGAGAACCTTCGGGTGAGCCCGCTGTGTTCGCTACACGTTTGTGCCTTGCGTTGGAACCATAGCTCTTCTCGTCGCGGCCAAGGGATGGCTTCGTTTGGGTATTCTATGTCGGGCGGGTAGCGCATATCGTGGCACGCTTCATTTCGTTTCACCGTGGCGGGGGCGATGGGGAAAGCCGCAAACACGGCAGGGTTTGTTGGATCGATGCCCTTGTTTGCGGGACTGATTCGTCCCGATGCAGATTGCGTGCGCGACCGATTGTGTCGAGCGTCGAGTTTACCGCCTGCCTGTACCCAAATCTTGAGATCTTCTTTTATACCATTTGAAATCCTCACTTCCTCCCCCGTCTGCTTCCTGTGGGCTGCGCACGCTTTTTTTTTTCCGGCACGCAGGATGAAGCCGACGCGGCCCGGGCTGAGGGCACCATCCTGTACGCCGTCGGTGTGGGTTCGGGCCCGTCCCAGGAGAACCTCCTCGCCATCGGAGGGGACGAGGCGAACGTCTTCGACGTCGACAACTTCGAGGAGTTGGACCGTGAGTGTCCAACTTTCACTGAAATGTTTATTTGTGTAGTTGATTGTTCGTCGTTGGCCGGCAAGGTTTCGATTCGCTCCCAAAGTGTTGTATTTGCACAGCAATCCACATGTTCTCGTCCCCCGAACGCTTGACTTCTCCCGTACCCCTGACGAAAGCGCCGCCCCCATCCCCTCGACCGCGCGACCGCTCCCACCTGTTTGGTCTCAGTCGCCCTCGATGACATCGTCTCCGCTTCCGGCGGCAGCGTGCCCTGCGCCGCCACGGGCGCCACGGTGACGGTCCAGTTCAACGGCATGGTGACTGAGGCCACCGTGGACGGCGGCGTGGCCACCTACGACGGCGGCGACGTGGTCTTCACCATCGACGACCTCGAGGCCACCCCGACCAACTTCGAGGTCTGGCTGGACTGGTGCGGGCAGCCTGAGGGCGCCGAGGTCATCGCGTCCGTGTCCTATGCCGATGACGAGGGGAACACGCCCGACTTGTCTGCCCTCGAGGGTTGGGCTGTGGTGCCCGTCTGCGGTAAGTTACGGCACACGCGTTGACGGTTTCGTGATGATGAGGCACCGACCGCAGTTTGGGCCGCGCGAAGAGGCCCATGTTGGCACGGTTGTGGGTGTTCTCTTGCGACTTGGCGATATTTGTGGGCATGTAGTGCTCCATGAACGGTTCTTGGAGGTTTATTGCGGTGAGCGCGGTTTGGTAGATAGCCTCGGTTCGCTGACAATGATGCTGCATGTTGTTTCCGTAAAACCCAGATCCGCTCTCATTCGCCTTACTATCATCGCCACAACATTTGGATGCGTTGCCGATGAACTTGGGGAGTCTGCACGACCAACCGGCGATCTATTCGACAACGCTTCGCAACGAACCACCCGAACCACCCGAAGGTTCTTGCACTTTCGTTCTTGTCGCAGCCAGGAAAACGACGAACGCAGCTTTTGCATGGATGTCTAACAAAAGTGCCATCTCTCTTTGCCCTGTACCGTGTGCTCTGCCGCCCTGAAACGTCTCGTCGGCGACTCTACTGCAACGAACGGCCGTTCGAAACGGCGACGTCAACGTGAATCACAACTTCGACTTGGCCCAGACGACGACGCCGCTCCTTCGCCCGTCTCTCCCAAGACCCCTGCGCCGACCTTCGCTACCCCCGCGACCCCGGGTAGGTGCTGTTGCCGATGGCGCATACGGATGTGTAGGGCAGCTAGACGAAGTTGTGAGGCATTTGCCCGAGACGGAAAGTGCTCGGTGTACTCGACATGCCAGTCGCATGCACATCATGGAAGGCACAAGTGACAGCAGTGGCAGTTTTTCCATGACATACATTTCCATCTGGCGAATATTTTTTGGTGGGGTGTCGCAGGGGCCTTCCGTGTGCCGGTACTGGTCTCTCGCTCTTGTCCGGAGATGCGCAAGTAGAGATCCTTTCCGTCAGAGTCGTTCGCCACTCTGTTCCGTTGGTGCCTTGGGATGAACGATTCCCTCGATTTGCTCGGCAAACAACCCGGCCCGCTCTTTTTCGGCCGAAGCTTGACCTTCTTGTCATGCTTCGCAGCAGGATAGTTTCCGCCCACTTCGACAACACCCACTAGGGACACTTGCTCTCGCCTCACACACAGAGGGGAATCAGTGGTGACCTATGCAGTGCCGTAGATCTGGTAGCTTGTATGCGACTGCTGTTCTCGCTGCGAGCCTAGTAGATACCCGTACTGCCACTCGTGTCTGAAGTTCTTCGGTTCAAACGAGGCGCACGTGCGTGCGAGTGCACGCGTCCGAGGATAATCGAAGCTTCCAGGACGTTAACCCCAACTCATCCTGCCGCTGCCGCCGCCACCACCACTTCCCGCCTTCCTTCCGTGTCTTGTTGCAGTGCCTGCTGCCCCTGTACGTGACTCCCCCGATGACGTCTTCGACGACCTCTCCTTCGACTTCTCGTACTCGTACTCGTACACCTACGACCCGTGGTACGACGACGACAGCAGGGACGGTGAGTAACGCGCTCGCGTGCGTAGCCCTCGACGATCAGGCCGGCAGGCGGTGTGCACTGGTTCGTCTCGACATCTTGTTGACGAGTTGTCGACATGCGTAGTCCTGTGATCGAAACCGTGTTAGTGGCCTGGTGTGAAGTGCTGAAGTTGACGGCAGGAGGTAGCGCGCTCATTGCACCGCGTGGAGTAAGTGACCCGTACCCAATATTCCGGAGATAGATAATGTTTGAGATGGGTGTCACTCCTACTGCTGTCGAGTGCACCACTGGAATTAGCGATACTAGGGATTGTGATTATGTCCTTTCCGTGAACGTCATTCATCTGCGATCGCGTACAACGTTACAATCAAGAGATTTCATGTCGAAACACTGAACAACTATGGAATGGCATTCATGTCTGTATCCGTGAAAATATTTTTGGTGCAATTCACCAACGAACAGCCCCGCCCCCCGCCCCCCCCTACCGACCTGCTTTTTCCAGCTCCGACTGTGCCCGGGCCTGCTCCCCACGACGGTGGCAGAGGATCGCCCACTCCCGGAGACGCGCCCACTCACCGTGGAGACGCGCCGGTCTACTCGGCCCCTACTGGCGGTGGACGTTCGCCCACTCCGGGAGCCGCGCCCACTCACCCTGAGCCCGCGCCTACTCACAGTGGAGACGCGCCGGTCTACAAGGCCCCTACTGGCGGTGGACGTTCGCCCACTCCGGGAGCCGCGCCCACTCACCCTGAGCCCGCGCCTACTCACAGTGGAGACGCGCCGGTCTACTCGGCCCCTACTGGTGGTGGACGTTCGCCCACTCCGGGAGCCGCGCCCACTCACCCTGAGCCCGCGCCTACTCACCGTGGAGACGCGCCGGTCTACTCGGCCCCTACTGGCGGTGGACGCTCGCCCACTCCGGGAGCCGCGCCCACTCACCCTGAGCCCGCGCCTACTCACAGTGGAGACGCGCCGGTCTACTCGGCCCCTACTGGTGGTGGACGCTCGCCCACTCCGGGAGCCGCGCCCACTCACCCTGAGCCCGCGCCTACTCACAGTGGAGAAGCGCCGGTCTACTCGGCCCCTACTGGCGGCGGACGCTCGCCCACTCCGGGAGCCGCGCCCACTCACCCTGAGCCCGCGCCTACTCACCGTGGAGACGCGCCGGTCTACTCGGCCCCTACTGGTGGTGGACGCTCGCCCACTCCGGGAGCCGCGCCCACTCACCCTGAGCCCGCGCCTACTCACAGTGGAGACGCGCCGGTCTACTCGGCCCCTACTGGTGGTGGACGCTCGCCCACTCCGGGAGCCGCGCCCACTCACCCTGAGCCCGCGCCTACCCACAGTGGAGACGCGCCGGTCTACTCGGCACCCTCGTACACGGCACCTTCGCCTGTCCCTGGACCGCACCGTGCCCCTACTAGCGGTAAGCGTTGCTTCTCTCTCTGAAGCGCAGAACAACTAACCGTGCAAGGCCCTTCGCTTGTCTTCATAGCCGGAGCTGCCTCGCTCCCTTGTCTAGATTTGGGGACTATCGATCATTCGAATTTGTAATGTAATGTTTCTGCCAAGAACTTTCTTGAGAATGGCAACATTCTTTTTCAAAGGCGGGGGGTACCAAAAGTCAAGCTCTTTATCTCAAATGTTCAAGCGCTCACACGGCAGACGTACGCATGGAAGTGCGAAGCAGGGCAGGCGCTGATCGGACGAATTACCAAATTGCATGTTGGTTGATTTCGCCCACTTTTGATTGTTGGATCTTGGTTACGGGACTGCCCCAGAAGCTGCCGCTGCAACTACGATAAAACTGCCGCTCATGAGACAACCAAACGTCACCGCTCCCGCCTCCCGCTGCCGCTCTCCTCCCTCACCGACGCAACAGACATGCAGAGGTGCAGCAACGGTGTTTACGGCATCGAGTCCCCCAACGGCAAAGCGTGCTGCGCGTTGGCTTGCGGATCTTGCGGCGGTGTTGGCTGCAGCCGGCGCCCGGGAGGGTCCTACGACTGCTGCGAGAGCGAGTGAGTGTCCAAGGCCCCTCGAGCTCATTTGTGATGGACAACAGCTTGGTTCTCCCATCCATGTATCGTTGGATGGACTAAAATGGTTGGTTCATGCAGAGTTGCAAGGTTGATCGCGAACAGAACCGCCCACGCAACCACGTTTTTCTCACGCTCCCTCCTATGTATCTCGTCCTTGGTGCCAACGGCGTGATCAAAACAGAATCGTGGAAGAGGGAGAGGCTTGCGCTGCAACTGGAGCGTCTCCTTGCTACATTGACGGTGAGTTAAACCGGCCGATCTATTCATCATGCCGATGTGAATCCTTTTTGAGAACAAAGAGAAATAAAGCCATTGTGGTCGGGGACGTCGAAAGCCAGGTCGATACATCTCCTTTCGGACATAAAAAGAAAGGACCGGCGGTACCATACCGATATGATCCCTTTTTGAGAACAAAGAGAAATAAAGCCATTGTGGTTGGGGAAGTCGAGAGCCAGGTCGATACATCTCCTTTCGGCCATAAAAGAAAGGACCGGCGGTACTTATTTTCACCCAATCGTTGAGAGCATTGGGTGGATCATTTCTTCTGTCAATACCCCAATCTGGATGTGGAACCGAGATTCTACAGTTGCGTTAAGCCGCGCCGATCATCATCCCCATCCAAGCTGAACCCACCCCTTTTTTTGCCACCGCCCTACTCGTTCTCTTCGAATCCAGGAGATGAGGTACTGGACCCGGTTGTTCCCACGGAGGAGCCAGTGACGCCCGGCGGCGGTGGCGATGGCGGTGGACGCGGCGGAGGCGGCGGAGGCGGCGACGACTACACCCCCACGGACGAGCCCACCGACGCGCCAGTGACACCCGGTGGTGGTGGTGGTGGACGTGGTGGGGGAGGCGGCGGTGGAGGCGGCGACGACGACCACACCCCCACGGACGAGCCCACTGACGCGCCAGTGACACCTGGTGGTGGTGGCGGACGTGGTGGCGGAGGAGGCGGTCGTGGCGGTGGTGGAGGCGGCGGTGGAGGCGGCGGCGGCTCCTTCTCGTACGACTACGCCCCCACGGACGAGCCCACTGACGCGCCGGTGACACCCGGTGGTGGTGGCGGAGGAGGCGGTCGTGGCGGTGGTGGAGGCGGCGGTGGCTCCTTCTCGTACGACTTCTACCCGACTGACGAGCCCACCAACGCGCCGGTGACACCTGGTGGTGGTGGTGGACGTGGTGGCGGAGGAGGCGGTCGTGGCGGCGGTGGAGGCGGCGGCGGCTCCTTCTCGTACGACTTCTACCCGACTGACGAGCCCACTGACGCGCCGGTGACACCCGGTGGTGGTGGTGGACGTGGTGGCGGAGGAGGAGGTGGTCGTGGCGGCGGTGGAGGCGGCGGTGGTGGAGGCGGCGGCGGCTCCTTCTCGTACGACTTCTACCCGACTGACGAGCCCACTGACGCGCCGGTGACACCCGGTGGTGGTGGTGGACGTGGTGGCGGAGGAGGAGGTGGTCGTGGCGGGGGTGGAGGCGGCGGTGGTGGAGGCGGCGGCGGCTCCTTCTCGTACGACTTCTACCCGACTGACGAGCCCACCGACGCGCCGGTGACACCCGGTGGTGGTAGTGGACGTGGTGGCGGAGGTGGTCGTGGCGGGGGTGGAGGCGGCGGTGGAGGCGGCGGCGGCTCCTTCTCGTACGACTACACCCCCACGGACGAGCCCACTGACGCGCCGGTGACATCCGGTGGTGGTGGCGGAGGTGGTGGTCGTGGTGGCGGCGGTGACGGTGGCGGTGAAGACCCCACGGATGAGCCCACTGAAGCGCCAGTGACATCCGGCGGCGGCAGTGGTGGTGGTGGAGGAGGCCGTGGCGGTGGGGGCCGCGGCGGTGGCGGTGGCGACGATGGTGATGTCTACTCGTATGACTACGGCTGGGAGGCAGACATCAACGACCAGTTCATGCTCAAGGGCCAGTTCATGTGGTGCACCAACGGCGTACCCGGAGTGGAGTCTACCATGGGCGAGGTCTGCTGTCCGGCCAGCTGCGGGCACTGCGGGGGTGTGGGCTGCGACGAGCGCGGCGCGGCCGACGAATGCTGCACCACTGAGGTAAGCAACTCTTCCATGGCTGTAGATTCTACCTTGCTTTTGAACAGCTGTGGTTTGTTCCGCAAGCACACTCCTTTTTCTGTTGGGTTTGGTCGCGATAACGGGGCGAACACCAAAAGGAGCATGCAGGTACACGTGCTACCGTCATTCTGTCTGCGGTCGACACCGATGACCGCTCTAGTCTGCGTATGCATGGCCTCCGTCATTTTTCAGTGCCCATGTACGACCGGACTATTCCGTGCCGCTCTGTTTTTGGACGTCCAATGCTTGCTCCTCTTTTTGGTTTGGCCATATCCAGATCATGGACTATGGGCAGCCGTGCTCAGTCACCGGAACGGCTCCTTGCTACCTCGACGGCTAAGTCTACATACAGCTGGCGTAGATGCAACGCGGCAGCAGCAGCAGCGGCGGCTATTGTTGGAAGCGGAGCCTTTCAGGAGCCTGAAAGCGGACCGCATGCATCGACCACCGGATCATTCGTCACCTAGCGGCCGTGGTGTCCTTTGTATGTTTTATTCTAAATAGTGCTTTGCTATGGATATGCTCAACCGGGGAGCATTCCAATATTCCGGTAGTGCTTTGCTACGGATATGCTCAACCGGGGAGCATTCAAATATTCCGGCGCGGTCGTTTCGCTGTCCTGGATCTGTATCCCTACTCCTGTTGTAGAGTACTGTCGACCATCCTTTACATCTTCGGTTTTCCCCGCACCCCCTTGTTCGCATGGTGGTTTTTCTACGGGGAAGAGGCGCATATCCCAACGTGAAGTTCGTGTTTTGCACAGCGGTTGTAGAGCATGCTAGCCGGCCCCTCGCACGAAACCTGCGGGGAAAAGGCCGTGCGCATTCAACGCTGCGCGATCGCAACGAAGCCGCGCACCGTCGTAGTGTCGTGTTTGTTTTGTCGTGTGTCGTTTGTCGTTGTAAGTTCTATTGTACGCATACGTCTGTCTGTAGCAAACAAATAACGTATGAAGAGAACCATCTAGCACGGTCGCGCCTTTTTGCGTAGGCTCCGTCGGACGGGCATGATTTTTCTAATTTGTCACATTTGTTGCTGCAAATTAAATCAGGTATCTGTAGCCTTCGCCCTGTCTGATCGGTTGTTCTTGAGCGCGGCCGTGGAGTATCCAAAGATATCATGGCTCGTCTTTTGCCTGAAGTATTGAGGAGCTATTGTTGTGGAACTGCAGTAGTGCGTTCGTAGCGAGTTTATGTACTTGGGACAGTGATTTTTCGTAGACTTGGTCGGGAGGGCACGGTATTTGCCGTCTTTCAGATGTAATTTTGCCTAGACTTGGTCGGGCGGGCATGGTATTTGCCATCTTCAAGTATCTCGCCTTCGCGTTGTCTGATGGATTGCTCTTGAGCGCAGCCGTCAAGTATCCAAATATGTGACGGCGCGTCTTTGCCTGCCGGAAGTGTTGAGGAGCGTTTGTTGTGCAACTGCATTTCTTCACTAGGGGGCAATGTTGCCTACTGGTGGTAAGGTCTGCTGTTGTGGTGTAGAAACGGTAGAAACGTTTTTAGTCTAGTCAGCGATGTTGAATCAACGTGGACAAACCGCGGCAACTTGGAGTTGATACGGCTACTGCTGCATGAAGTCTCTCGACCGCTTTGGTGGGACGTGAGCTGGTGCCCGGAAAGATAGTGTACACTTGAGAAAGCTTGATTTAATATGAACGGTGCGTGTCGCGGTGAACAATAGCTGCGCGCCGTTGAACTGTCTGTAGGTCTATGCGTTGTGGTTTCGACTCCCCCCCTCGTATGGAGCTCGAAACTTTTCCGCCACCTCACTGATTCGAGAAGTTTTGTCAACCTTTCCGAGATCAAGCAAGCATTCGTTCACCCGCTGATGTACGCTGAGTGTTGTTGCTGGTGGTGTGACGCTTCATGCACCCGTCCTTCCAGAGTCCAATCATGTGAGATGTGAACGCTCACAAAGAAAGGGAGGACTTGAGATGTTTCTCTGATAGTGTAGCCTGGTCAATAGTACGCTGTCTGTGCATACCGAGCCAGGCCGAAGAGGTTCGGTCGTACCGTCGTATGCATACATACCTATACCGCGTTGTGGTAGCTCACACATACATGGATGTCGCGAGAACTCACTACAATCCCTGCAAAGAAGGCGTGATACCATCATATACATGGCTTGATACTCGCTTTGTCACAAATAAATGTCTTCATGCTCACCTGGGAAATGTCCTGATGTCACGTAGATGGCAGAGCAAACGAACCGGCAGCTTCTGGGGTAGGTAGTCCTTCAAACAAGACACAACAATCAAAGTGGACGAAAATTAACAATTCATACAAAAAAACAAAGTTCGTCCGATTAGCGCCTTCCCTGCCTTCACACTCGCTTGCGTACGTTTGCTGTGTTTTGGTGGTTCGTGCCGAGGAAAAATGCTACTTTTTTTTCTCAGGTTGTTGTGTAGTGTTGAGGCGCCAAAGCTAGAATCATGAAACCAATTAGTCGAACGCTAATAAATGAAAGACAGATCTCGACTTTTGATTTCCTTTCTTTGAAGAGAAAGCCGTTGGAAGACTCAACGTTCCTCGCCCGGTTCATCCTTGAAAATAAATTTGAACAATCGGCTGTCCACAAATCTAGACGAGGAAGCGAGGCAGCTCCGAGCGTATAGGCACAAGTCAAAAAAGGGTTGCATGCATATAGTTGTTCCGCGCCTCAGAGAGTGAAGCAGGACTTACCGCTAGTCGGGGGGTTGTCCGGTCCAGGGACAGGTGAGGGTGGCGTGTAGACGGGGGCTTGCACCGGCGCGGAGCACGGCGCGTTCCAGGGCAAGTACTTGTTGTAAGTAGAGGCAGTTCCGAGTGGGCGAACCTCCACCAACAACAGTAGTAGGGGCCGAGTAGATCGGTTCTTCCACGGATGCGGAGCCGGGAGTCGTAGGAGCGGCTCCAGGGTAAGTAGGAGCGGTTCCAGGGGTGGACGAACCTCCACCAGCTGTAGGGGCTGAACAGACCGCGGTGCTTGCAACGGGCGCAGAGCTGGGAGTCGTAGACGCGGCTACCGGAGTCGCAGGGGCGGCCCTAGCAGTGGGCGAATCTCCACCACCAGCTGTAGTACGGGCCGAGTAGACAAGTGCCTCCACGGGTGCAGTGCCGGGGGTAGTCGGAGCACCTGCACCTCCTATCGGGGCCGGGGTTTCGACGTAGTGGGGAGCAGGCCCGAGAACAGAGTCGGGACTGGATAAATCAGGCCGATAGGGGCCGGGGGGGATGGTCGCTGTGCATTAGTGGGTGCACAACCTTCATTGAAGGAGTCATGCCTTCCAAAAAACATCCCATTGTTTTGGTATGAAATCGTTCGAATACAATTTTGACATCTGACATCTAACCGCAACCCCTTCTGCAATTAATGAATAACCATAAATTACGTATGAAAGATTTGAGTTTAGCTTTGATGCCTTTTTTGTTCTTGATGAGTAAGTAGATATTCAAACGAATATAATATTGTTCTTCGGAAAACAAGTGCTGCACGATGGCTTGGGAAACAAATAATGGTGGAAGATGGATGTGATGCAACCGAGTCCTTCGTGTCCTTCTCCGTGGACCGAAGTCGTGCAGGAGGAGGACGGCGGTGGTGGCGGCGTTGGCGGCGGCGGCGGCGGCGGCGGCGGCGGCGGCTGGAGAGATGGCTCTTCCGGCTCCTGTGGAGATAATTGGGACCACGTCAGTCAATCTCTTGACATGAGATTGTGTCAACTATGAGTTACTTTCGGGGGCATATTTTCGCTTCTTCTCTGAAGTACAACGCAGTATATATAGAGTACGTAGTACACTAGCACCGCTACAGTATCGAAGGAAAAGTTCTCTTCAGCATGCGTACGAGGGGTTGCTTGTGGTGAGTTCGCCAAGAGTTCGCCAAGTCAACCTTTCTTTGTGAGCCATTCTTCTCCATGTAGCGATCGGTCAATCAAAATGTCTTGTTGGACAACGTCGCGGGGGAAGAAACCCTCGTTCGTTCCTCTCTCGGCGATCCGCACTCCGCACGTACCACAGAGCGCGCGCTAATGTACGACGGTACGACCGAACCTCTTCCGCTGGGCTGAGAATGTAAACTAGTCTGTCTGTTTCATCTTCCGCCCCCCCCTTGGTGAGCTTTCATACCACATGATTGGATACTGGAAGGATGGATGGGTGGACGAAGGGGTCATATCATATTCCAACGATGGCATTCAGCGTATATCGGCGGGCGAAACTTTCACGCGGATGCTTGCTTTATCTCAGTCAGGTTTACAAATATTCTCGGCCCGGAACGGTCTTGCGGCAATCAATACGGTTCTCCAACGAGGTACCGGACGTGCTTCAAAAATCCATTAGAAAACCACGGGACTCCATTCAGTCTGCACCAACGCAAAAGCCCCACAAAATTTAAGGACCACAGCTCTTCGCCGCGACACTGCTACCGTTCAAGGTTTCAAGTGAACAATATCTTTCCGGGGACCAGCTCATGTCCAAAACGCTATCGCGAGGCTTCATGGAGCGGTCGTCTGTCTCATTCCAAGTTGCCGCGAGTCCTATAAGTCGATTCAAAAATCGCTACACGGACAATAGACTTTCGTAGTCTATGTTTCTACACCATGCCGAGGCACCTGCACTGTCACTGCAGTCGCTGTACAGCTATTCTCTCCGCTGCAGCTACAATCTAGCTGGTACGCAATCACACAGAGTGAATGTATCCACACTCAGACACCCAAGCTGTCTTCAACTGACGGGTACATGCTTGGCAAAAGGCCTGCACAAATCCCGCATCAAACCCACGCAGTAGAATACAGTCGTTCTTTACTGCAAGCACTCCGATACACCTACAACAGACCTTAGCACCAACCAGTAGACAATATCGCCTCCCTTGAAGTACTGAAGTTCCGCAGCAAACGCTCCTCGATACTTCCGGCAAAGACGTGTCATGCGACGCTGCCGGATACTCGCCGCTATCTCACATCATCATTGGATACTCCTTGGCCGCGCTCAAGAGCAATCGATCAGGCAAGGTGAAAGCGAGATACCTCAAAGATGGCATACACCATGCCCGCCCGACCAAGTCTACGCAAAATCACTCTCCAAGTTGCTGCGAGTCCTCAGGTCGATTCACTGATCGATACTAAGCTCCATACAATGAATCGACCTCGTCACTGATTGGGAGGTGTTGGATAGAGAGATGGGAACGTTTTTATTGTAAAGAAAACAACAACAACAACAACAACAACAACAGCGATAACAATAGACCCCACGAGTAGACTACGCGACGCACAACAGCTTCACAACAAAACGCTCCTCAATACTTCCGACAAAGACGCACCACCACATATTTGGATTCCGCGGCCACGCTCAAGAAAATCGATCCGGAAGGCGAGGGCTAGATACCCATTCATTCCTCTGAAAGATGGCAAAAATGATGCCCGCCCGACCAACATATCTACGCAATATCGCGCTCCAAGTTGCAGCGAGTCCTCAAGTTGATTCAAAATCGTTATATTACCTACCTGGCAGACTCTACACCATTCAACAGACCTCACGAGCAAAAAATATGGACGTATGCTACCACCACAGTTCCACAACTCTCCTCGATATTACGGGCAAAGACGCGGCGCCATCGCATAATTGGATACTCCACGGCCCGCGCTCAAGAGCAATCGATCAGACCAGTAGAGGGTATTGTAGATACGAAACTGATCTGATGCCAAACATCATGCCCGTCTGACCAGGTCCCACACGAAAACACGAAAATGCGTGGCCTTGCACGATGTTTCATTTCTTCACTACACGCACGTTGTTGATACAGACAGACGTACAACACCACAGACACGACACGACAAGACGGTGCACGGTTTCTTCGCTGCGATCGTGAAACACTGAATGCGGAGGGCCTTTTCCCCACAGGGCTCGTGCGAGGGGCAAACATGCTACCAGACACCTGCTGCGAGATGCACCTTCGCCCCGTAGAAAATTCAAAACGCGAACAAGCGGGGGGCGGGACAACCGAAAATGTACCCGGATAGGGTAGTCAAGAGCAATCTTACAACAGGACTAAGGATACACGTCCAGGACAGCGAAACAACAGCTCTGCTACCTTGGGGTGTTCCTCCCCCGATTCAGGGGGCATATGTATGAAAACACTACATCGAAGTACTCAATATGAAGAAACCGTTTAGAATGAAACGAATAAAGGAAAGACAGATGGCAATCCCACGGCCATTAGGTGACGGACGACCCGGTGGTCGACGCATGCATGCGGTCGGCCTTTGGGCTCCTGAAAGCCTCAGCTTCAACCACGGCCATGACTGCTGTTGCTGCTGCTGCTGCTGCTGCCGCGTTGCATCTTCGCAAGCCGTAGACTTAGCCGTCGAGGTAGCAAGGAGCCGTTCCGATCTCTGAGCACGGCTGCCCATAGTCCATGATCTGGATACGGTTGAACCAAAAAGAGAACAGACATCGGACGTGATTTTAGAGAGCGGCGCGGAACACCAGGAAGCCAGTCCCGTCATACATGGGCGACAATAAAAAAATGATGAGGCAATCTATACGCAGGCTAGAGCGACCAACGGCGCCGGCATGCCGCCGACGGTCTGGGCTTGCCGGAGGCAACAAAAGCATGGAAGGACGTGTACCTGCAAGCTCCGTTTGGTGTTAGCATCGCTTTCTCGACCGAACCCAAAAGAAAGACGTGCTTGCGGAACAAACGACTGACGTGTTCGAACCAAACCACAGGTGTTAAACGCAAGCGCGAATTTACAGGCCACGCACAGCAGTTATTGCAAAAGGCGGAGGAGTCATGACAGGACCGCTCGCCCAATGTTTGTGATTTGACTGGCACATAGAAATGGCTTACCTCGGTGATGCAGCAATCTTCGCCAAACTCGCCGCAGCCCACACCCCCGCATTGCCCGCAGTCGGCCGGACAGCAAACCTCGCCCCCGGCAGACTCCATTCCGGGGACGCCATTGGTGCACCACATGAACTGGTCGTCCATGCTGTCTCCGTCCCACGAAACGAAGTCATACGAGTACGAGTATGAGCCGCCACCGAAGCCGCTGGGCATGTCCGTCTCTTCGGGCACCACGGGGGACATGGAGGGAACAACCGGGTCCAGCACCTCATCTCCTGGAGTCGAAGCGCACGAGTTGGGCGGTGGTTAAAGAAGGGGCGGATTCAGCGAGGGGTTTGGATGAGGGTGGGCGCGTCATAACGCAAGTGTAGAATCTTGGTTCCACATCCAGATTTGGGTATTGACAGAAGAAACGATCCACACAATGCTCTTTACGATTGGGTAAAAATAAGTACCGCCAATTCACTCTTTTATGGCCAAAAGGAGATTTATCCACCTGGCTCGACTTCCCCAACCACAATGGCTTTATTTGTCTTTGTTCTCAAAAAGGATTCATATCGGCATGATGAATAGATCGGCCGGTTTAACTCACCGTCAATGTAGCAAGGAGACGCTCCAGTTGCAGCGCAAGCCTCTCCCTCTTCCACGATTCTGTTTTGATCATGCCGTTAGTGCCAAAGAGGTGATGAGCAGGAGGGAGCGAGTAAACGAAAATGGCGTCATTAGGTGGTGCTGTTCGCGGCCGACCTTGCAACTCTGCATGAACCAACACCTTAGTCCTTGCAAAGATACATGGATGGGAGAACCACATCAAAAATGAGCTCGAGGGGCCTTGGACACTCACTCGCTCTCGCAGCAGTCGTAGGACCCTCCCGGGCGCCCGCTGCAGCCAACACCACCGCAAGACCCGCAAGTCAACGCGCAGCACGCTTTGCCGTTGGACGACTCGATGCCGTAAACACCGTTGCTGCACCTCTCTATGTCTGTTGCGGTCGGCGAGGGAGGAGAGCGGCAGGGGGAGGCGGGAGCGGTGGCGTTCGATTGTTGTATAGAGCGGAGCTTTTATTGTAATTGCAGCGGGGGACCAAATGCTCTCGAATCGACCCACACGCGGAACTCGCTTGGCTTGCGCCAGATCGATTGCAGAGCGAACGAAACAGCAGAGCTTATGGGGCAGTCCCTCAACCAAGATACAACAATCAAAGTGGACGAAAACTAACAATTCATGCGAAAAAAACAAAGTTCGGCCGATCAGCGCCTTCCCTGCCTTCACACTCGCATGCGTACGTTTGCTGTGTTTTGGTGGTTCGTGCCGAGAAAAAAGGCTATTGTTGTTCAGGTTTTCTAGGGTTGAGGCGCCAAAGCTAAAAATCATGGAACAATAATAGTCGAACGCTGATAAATGAAGGACATATCTCAACTTTTGATTTCCTGCCTTTGAAGAGAAAGCCGTTGGAAGACTCAACATTCCTCGCCCGGTCTATCCTTGAAAATGGATTGAACAATTGGCTGTCCACAAAATCTAGACAAGGAAGCGAGGCAGCTCCGGGCGTAGGCACAAGTAAAAAAAAGCTGGCATGCATAGTTGTTTGCGCCTCAGAAGAGTGAGGCAGCACCTACCGCTAATCGGGGCGCTGTCCGGTCCAGAGACAGGTGAGGGTGCCGTGTAGACGGGGGCTTGCACCGGCGCGGAGCCTGGCGTGGTCGGGGCCGTTCCAGGGTAAGTAGGGGCGGTTCCAGGGGTGGACGAGCCCTCGCCACCAGTAGGGGCCGAGTAGACAGGTGCCTCTACGGGCGCAGTGCCGGGAGTAGTCGGAGCACCTCCTATCGGGGCCGGGGTTTCGATGTAGTGGGGAGCAGGCCCGGGAACGGTCGGGACTGGATAAATCAGGCCGACAAGGGACGGGGGCGGAGGGTCGCCGTGCATTATTTAGTGGGTGCACAGTCTTTATGGAAGCAGTCATGCTTTCGAATACAAAATTCCCAATGATTTGAAATGAAATCGTTCGAATACAATTTTGTATTGTTGGTGGATGCACAACGTTCACTGAAAAAGACGTGACGATTCCTCAATGTCTTGCCTGGAAATCTCTTCAAAGTCGTTGATGCCAGTGTTTCACTCGGCAGCACTAGTAATACCAACCTCCTCGACATCGAACACGGGTGCTATGAATAGGCGTGGGGTGCGTCACAGCGTTTGCCGTGTGGACTTCAGAGCTGCATATCATGTGGCTCTACCGCGGTTTCGACCATCGGAGTACGTCTACCCAGAAATCAAGTGTCGACAGTACGCTACAAGGCGTTAAGTAGGTAATGCATCAGCACCGGAGAGGGTGGGCACGCATGTGCAGAGTGCAGACAGCCTGGAGGCCAGAAAAATCGCGACCGGACCGAGGAGGGCCACGCATGAAAGCTCGTTACTCACCGTCCCTGCTGTCGTCGTCATACCACGGGTCGTAGGTGTACGAGTACGAGTCCGAGAAGTCGAAGGAGAAGTCGAAGACGTCATCGGTGGAATCATATACAGGGGCAGCGGGCCCTGCAACAAGACACGGAAGGAAGGCGGGAAGTGGTGGTGGCGGAGGCAGCGGCAGGAGAGGTTAGGGTCGACGTCCTGGCAGCTTCGACCATTCTCGGAAGCGTGCGCTCGCGCGCACGTGCGCCTCGTTTGGACGGAAATCCCAAGACACGAGGGGCAGCAGTGGAACAGGCACGTTTTGAAGGGTGGTGGCATTGGTATCTTCTAAATAGGCTCCCGAGCAAGCTACCTGATCTACGGTAATACACAGGTGACCCATGATTCCCCTCCACGTTAGAGACGAGTAACTCCGCAAGTCTCCATAGTGGGTGTTGTGGAAGTGGGTGGGGTTATCTCCAGCAATACGCGATGTTCTCCGAGTGTTTGGTATAGGTGCGGAGGATTGGGTGGAAACTACAATATATCCTGTTTATGAAACGTGACAACAAGGTCAAGAATCGGCCGAAAAAGGCCGGGCCGGGCTGTTTGCCGAGAAAATCGAGGGAATGATACGCCCCACACCCGATGGAACAGAGCGGCGAACGACTCCTACGGACAGGGTGTTTATTTGCTCATCACCTCCGGACGAGAGTGAGAGACCGGTGGCGGCACACAAAGGCCTCTGCGACACCCCAGAAAAATGTTTCGTCGATGAAAATGTATGGCATATGAAAAACTGCCGCTGTCACTTGTGCCTTGAGTCATGTGCATGCGCCTGGCACGCAGCGTAGACCGAGCATTTCCACCTGATGCTCACGACGAATCAAGTTTCATGGCCCATTCCTAAGCGGACCCATGCGTACCTTGGCATCTACCCTACACATCGTATGATGCAACGGCAACAGTACCTACCCGGAGTCGCGGGGGTAGCGAAGGTCGGCGAAGGAGTGGCGTCATCATCTGGTGGAGTTGTGATTCCCGTTGACGTTGCCGTTTCGAACGGCCGTTCGTTGCAGTAGGGTTGCCGATGAGACGTTTAAGCGCGGCAGAGCAAGCGGTACAGGGCAAAGGGAGATGGCACTTTCTTTAGGCATCAACGTACGAAGGCGAGCACGGGTTCTCAACATCCATGCAACAGCTTCCTCCGTCGTTTTCCTGGCTGCGACAAAGACGAAAGTGCAAGAACCTTCAGGAGGTTCGTCGCGAACCGTGGTCGAGTAGACTGCCGGCAGGTTGTGCAGGCTCCAAGTTCATCCGCAACGCATCCAAACGTTTTGGCGATAATCTAGGAACGAGGGCGGCGCTGCGTTCCACGGAAACAACATGCAGCATCATTGCCAACGAACCGAAAGGCTACCACATCGCGATTACCGCTACAAACAAAGACGCCAGAAAAATCTGATCGGCACGGGTTACTGATAAACATGGGCAAGTCAAGAAAACATCGAGAGACCCACCACAACCGTGTCAACATGAGCCTCGTGTGCGTGGCCGAATCTACCATCTCTCCGTGGTCGGTGCCTCATCAGCATGGCGCTAGATACTTTCACGCCGAGATCATCAACCATCCTGTCTTCACGCAACCCATCCGACTAGTCAGGTCTGACGGGTCTACCAGTCCGAATGGTCAGTGCTGATTGCTAGTCTGATGGTGTGGCTTCGTTTCAACAAAGTGTGAACGCGTGTGCCGTAGCTTACCGCAGACGGGCACGACCGCCTCCCCCTCGAGGGCTGACAGGTCGGGCGTGTGACCCTCGTCGTCGGCGTAGGAAACGGACGCGATGACCTCGGCGCCCTCAGGCTGCCCGCACCAGTCCAGCAAGACCTCGAAGTTGGTCGGGGTGGCCTCGAGGTCGTCGACGGTGAAGACCACGTCGCCGCCGTCGTAGGTGGCCACGCCGCCTTCCACGGTGGCCTCGGTCACCATGCCGTTGAACTGGACCGTCACCGTGGCGCCCGTGGCGGCGCAGGGAACGCTTCCGCCGGAGGTGGAGACGATGTCATCGAGGGCGACTGAGACCAAACAGGTGGGCGCGGTCGAGGGGACGGGGCGGGGGCGCGTTCATCACGGGAAGGAGCTAAGCGTTCGGGGGACGAGCACGTGTGGATTGAGAGTTTGGGGTTCACCACCCGAGAGCGCGATATGATAGCATGGGCAAAACGAAAGGCTCAGGCCTGAGGGTGGCGCTCGGGCAACAGCTTTGTGCGTCGGGGGTGAATCGTGCGCAATGCAAAGTCCCGGTTCTTCGATCGTGATTTCAGCACGCTTCAAAGTTCCCTAGGCCGTGTGCAGTCTTGCCGAAGGGTCAAACGTGTACCATCGTGGGTCAAGGTCTGAACATACATATGTCCTTGCCATGCTCGACCCTTTGGGTTGAGACAGGGTGGAGCATAGCGAACTCGCCCAATGTGAGGGACAACAAAAATACAAGAAAACAACTGCTTATGCACTCATGTACGCGTTCGGGAGCGAGATCAAAACCTACGGCGCCAGGGGTGGATGTAATGAACTCGTCCATTGTGACCGACAAACAGAACAACTGCTGTGCATATATGTACGTTTCGGATCTCTTACCGTCCAACTCGTCGAAGTTGTCGATGTCGAAGACGTTCGCCTCGTCCCCTCCGATAGCGAGAAGGATCTCTTCGGACGGGCCCGAACCCACACCGACGGCGTACAGGATGGTGCCCTCAGCCCGGGCCGCGTCGGCTTCATCCTGTGTGACGGAAATAACATCAAGCGTGCGCAGGCCGACGGGAAGCAGAGGGAGGAGGAAAGGTCTTCAAATGGTCTGCCTGCACTACATGTAGTTTCGTCCAAGAAAGGAACGTCTAAAGTTTTTGTACGCAGGCGGTAGACTCGATTGCCGACACAATCTTTCATCCAGTACGCATCGGGACGGACTTGTCTTGCAAACGAAGGCATCGATTTAACCGACACTGACGCGTTTGCGACTTTTCTCAATCCCTGTCACGATGAAAAGAAAGGTAGCATGTGCGTTCCCCGCCCGAGAGAGAATATCGAAACGAGGCCAGAGGGACAATGGGTGCGACGAGGCGGCAATGGTTCAAGGAGAGGGGTCATACGCAGCAAACACGGTGGGCTCACGAAGAGACTCTAGGTTTAGATAAGCTCCAAGCACGGAAAAATACAGCCCAAAAAAGACAATACATAGTCGTGCGCAAGCGAACCTGAGGGTCGGGCGCAGCTCCGTCAGTAGTGACGATCATGAACGAAGTAGTGGTGGGAGAGGCGCTGAGGAGCTCCCTGCCCTTGGCAATGCCGGCGATGATGTCGGTCCCGCCCGAGTACTCGGTGTCCGCGTCTACGAAGGCGTTGAAGTCCTCGAGGGAGTAGAATGTGCCGCCCTCCGAAGCGTCGGAAGAGAACTGGGCGAAGGAGGCGCTCCCGCCGTTCGTGAAGAGGTTCTGCTCGGCGAAGGACGCCACCGTGTTCTTGGCGAACTCCTTCGACAGCTCCCAGTCGGCGGTGCCGACGCTGCCCGAGGCGTCGATGATGACGGCCACGTTGACCTGTGTTGTAGGCATGCGGGATAATGGGCGGATGAGATTGGTGTCGGGCGATGTCACGTGGCTGCAAGTACATGGCGAGTTCGACAACAATGCACAATCCGAGTCCCGTCCGGAAAAAATCAATCCGTTCAGCTTGCGGGTCGACCCACCGTCCAGAGCATGCAGGTGCTCATGCCTCAAGCTTTCTTCGAACAACCAACCAATCGTCTGAGTTAGCTATCATGTAGGCCTCAGAAAGGGCGAACATGATTCGGCCTGCCAAAAGAGATACCGCTGACGTGATCACCGATTTTGCTTCGACAAGAGCACAACAATCCATAGCTTCGTACAATATTGCCGTGACAGCGAGCAGCCTCGGACACCCGACAACGTATTACGTTGACATGGGGATTGTTTCAAGCTTCATGGGTCACCACCACACCGTCAAAAATACGTAGGGGGGGGGGGGGGGTATATGGTAGAGAGACAAGGTCCCTCTGCGCGCGAATAAAGGAAGCACGCCGCGAATGTGCCCACAGAAAGGGGTCGAAATTGCCGGTGCGAGACTGTCAAAGCAGGGAGGACTTACCGTGTTCGCAGTCACCGTGGTCTGCCCCTCCATGGTGAATGAGTACTGGCTGCCCGCTTCGCAGGGGCAGTTGGCCGCCCATGTCGGGTCCGCCACCTGGACGCAAGACTCCTGGCCGTGCACGCCTCTACCCAGGAAGAGAGCGAGCGCGCCGGTGGCGAGAAGACTAAATCGATCCATGGTCGTGCCGATGCCGCCGCCGCTGCTGCGCTGTTGCATTGTAGGAGGCAAAGGGACCGGAAAGGTAACATCATGGCTTCGCTTCGGAAATTCAAACAAGCGTACCGGAATTGTTTAGATTCGTCACCCCTCTGTGATTGAGCGCACATCAGGTGTTGGCACCAGAAAGAAAAAAAAGTAATATATATTGCTGCGCCGCTATCGGTGGTATCGCACCCGGTGCGGTCACGATCCACATAGTCTACAACCTCAGACGGACACGGGAGGAAAGGCACTACAGTGCCGGCCCGCTCATGAGAAACGTCTAGTTTTGCGAGGCTCAAACCTTGTTTTGTTGCCACCTCTGAGCAAAGGCTTTTATGTAGGAATTGATGTAGCGCCGGCCGCTGTGCTCAATTTCTTAGGGCATTTTTTCTACGTTTGTCCAAATCTGAGCCTCAGTTTCTTAACAACACATTTCCTGCGAACGTACCGAGGAGCACAAACAAACGTAAACTTGCGGCATTTGAAAATCGCCATAATTCGCAGACACCGGTGAGTGTTTTTGCGAAGGGTCTTGTGTGTGTGGTACGGGGCCTGTACACCGCGAAGCTGCCTCGCCTGTACCAGGAGGCGCATGTGTCCGTTTCTTCAGTGTCTCCGCGATAGGTGTCATCGCACCAACGTGCCTGCACTCAGCAACGTCAAAGGGCCGAACTCCAGTGTATTTTTCCGCATCGCACCCATCCTGTCATCGCACCGGGGGGCCTTCCATAACGAAACGACTTTCCGGACCGGTATTATATGCATAATAACCGTGAAAGGCGGAGAGATAGCAACGGTCGGGGAGATGGCACCACTCTGGGAGGTGGCACGGGGTGCGCAAACAAAACCAAGAATTTGATGATATCGATGTCCGCACCGGGGTCGGTCAGATCGCACCCGGGCAGATCTCACCGATCCCCAATTCCAAGAATAAGCTCTTTGGATCTGCTGGAAAGAGGTACATGTATGTATGTGCGTACCTTTTTCCTGTGGGGACGGTGTCAGCGGGGCGCCACTCCTTTCTGTAGATTGAGCTTTATAGTATGTGTTTCTTAACCCTAATTTCTTATTTTTCGTGAAAAAGTGAGCATCAATTTCTCAACAAAATATTTCTTAATTGCGGGCGCTCACTGTACTGCTGCGTACGTTCTGGTATTGTGGAGCAAGACCGAAACAAAAGCGCAACCTGCGACCGACCGTGCGTATACGGGTTCCTCAGATGGAAACGATGTGCGGTGTACCCGACATAGAACGCCGCCTTGTCTTCTGGTAGGTTGGTAAGTACCAATTGTCCAAGAGGCGGAGAGATGGCACCGGTCTTGGAGATGGCACCAGGGTGCCTTGAAAAAGCTAAAAGAAAAATGACCGAAATAAACCATTACAAATACAATGTGTTGTGTTTCCACACAGGGGTCGGCGAGATCGCACCGGGGTGCACAAAAAAAGAAAAGGAAAAAACGACAGCTACCACCAAACTGTTTTGTTGAGCCTGTTACCCGCAGGGGAGATGTCCCTATATATATGCTGTCTGGGAAATCGTAGACATGCAGGTAGCTTGTTCTGACGCTATGAATTCATTGCTAATCTGTCTCTGACTCTTTTCTATGATAGAGATGGATTCGTTGCGTCATATAAGACACACCTATATATATATTTTTTTAAGAATAAAAAAAAAGGAAAAAACGGCCAGGAAATCGTTGGCCCCCGGGCAAGTGCCTTCATCTCTTGGCTTTTGTCGTATACTTTGAAATTGTTTGTACCCGTGCGCAGCAGCCAGCCAGACAGCACCGGGATGTTCTGTGTTCGGTGCTTCTGTGCACACACGGAATAGATAAGGCGATATTAATGTACCATCACACAGCACACAGCTCCTGCGTACGTGTTTGTGTTGTACGTGATTGGAAATCAAACGGTAGTCTACAGCGCAGTAGACTATCTGTCAAAGGCTATGGCGAGGTAAGGCACCGCAGTCATGCCCTCGAACGCAGCAGCCAAAAACACAACAACAGTAAACACCACATCAACACAATTGGTCCATCCATCCATCTGCACATGCTCTCACCTTGAGTGAAGATCTGGGGCGTGAAGTAGTAAGCGTGTGTAGAGTGGGAGCAGAGGGCGTCCACACAACAAGGGCGTCGGAGGGCATCGGCCCAAGTTGATCGACCCAATAGAAATGGCGGGTAACATTCTGAGCTGATTCCCATAATCAGTATGTTGTGGAACGTCGGCAGCTTCCGTTGTATTGTTGTTATTATTCCGTCACAACGGATAATAATGTTCCGACCATAGAGCGGTCCATAGAGCGGTCCGGCGCGTCCTCCTCCGGAGTCTCCCAATCAACCATACTCTTGTCATTTTCCTTCGTCGGTGATATATATGCATACCACGACCGGACTTCGGGGTATCGTATTAATCAGCGGGAACTCCTGGCCAAGAATTGTGGTAGTTCATCGTCTACTACTGCTGTTCGTTTGCCGTTTTCGTTTGGCACAGCACCCATACGTAGGGCAAAAATTATGTTGTACCGGAAGAATAAAAAAAAATGATCTATGTTTTAGAGGGGCATGCCGGGTAGATACCAGTCCTCCCACCAATCACATGTCGACTATGTAGTACATTATGTAGTACAGAGACAGCTGATTGGGCGATGGCCACGCCGCCGAGCGAGAATCCTCCGAAAGACGTAGCACAGCAGCAGCAGCACATGACACACATCGACAACACGCGAGACAACCAGCACAGCAGCACACGAGACTGCTGTGGACCAAGGGCAGCCAAAGGCACACATAATAGGAGGTCGGTTCGACTATTAGAGCCGGTTGGCTGCTGTGTCGGGCAGCACCACAACAGTGCTGCTGCTGCTGCTGCTGCAGGCCGATCTTTTGAGCTTGCTACACAGCAGTGGTGCATCCCTAACCCAATGAGACGTACAAACTGCTGCAGGCCAAGGCGGCCAAAGGAACACATTATACATACGATGCATCGAGAGCGATTTGTGAAGCCCGTTGCCTGCTGCTAGCAGCGCATAAGCGAGTGAAGCAAGTGCACACAAGTCAATCAATCTGCGGCGATCTTCGCCGGGCGGATCTATCTTCTCTCCATCCACAACAGACCCGCGCAAAAACAGAGAGACAATGAGATGTACACACGCTGCAGGCCATGGCGACCAAATACACACACACATAGAGGGCGTCGGGGGCGCCCGTTGCCGCTGCTACGAGCGTAAGTGGTGCACATCATCCACACAGCGGCAGCAGCAGCAGCAGCAGCTGATGATGATGATTCATGAAAGCTTCGTCCACACCACACAACACTTTCACTCTTCCCCGCGCTGCTAAACAGCAGCAGTCTGCGTACACGGCTGACTGGTGGTGTTGGGTGAGGTGTGAGCGTGTGCAGTAGCAGTGGTGTGGCCTGTCTGTGAGGCTCCATCAATATCTATTGCGCCCAATTGATTGCGCCTGCGTCTCTTTCTCCGCCCGTTCTTTTTCGCGCTTCGCGCGAAATAATTTAATTATTTTTTGTTGTACCCTATGTATGGGATCGGAGCCTCGTTTATTCCTCTCCCTGTCTGTTCTTGTCTGTTCACAAATTTATTTGAGGAAAAAAGTCCGCTGCGGGAATATATCCTCTCGAGAGCAGACCACAGATGCTGTTTCCCGTTCCCATCCCCCATCCCCATCCTTCTTCCAACGAATTCTCACATAAAATGCGTGTAACGGAGTAGCAATGACTTGCTTCGTGGTGACCGACTTGGTGGTGACCAGTGCGTTGGACTGCCGTGTTGTTCAGAAAAAACTAGAACTATTTTTCCCCGGCCGCAACACACCCACCTACTTACCAGCAGCAGTGTCTCCCTCGGTGGCCGGTATCTTCTCCTTCCCCATTCCCTCGCCCCTCACAGCCTCACAACAACACTACTGGTAGTTCTATCTTGGCTCCCGGTGTATGAGAAGAATCTTTGTGTGGCTCCCGCTGCAGGACCTAGGTATATAGCTCGGCCGTGCGGGTCTTGTACATTATCGGCATTTTCACCATGGAGACTCCATGGTAACCCATGGTTAACCATGGAGTCTCCATGGTGAAAACCACGAGTAACAACGGAGACTGCACGGCGAACCTCATGACGACGCTCGTG